TTATTATTATTATTATTATTATTATTTTGGAGAGGTTTTTGCTATAGGGTGCGTGTGCTTGCCAGAAAGACAGCGAGACAGAAAGCGAGAAATTGCTCCCCAGGGGCAATGGCCCTATATTAAAAAAAATTATTTTTAATTAAATTAGGGTTGGGTCCAGCAGTTGGCGTAATGGCTATGTCGCTGGACTCCCATGCAGTCGACTGTGGTTCAAGTCCCGGACCCGGTGGCTTAACACGCTGGGTGCGTGTGCATACGGGCCCAAGATCCTGAGAGAAGAATGGAGGAGAAGGGATTGCGGCGTGGCCACTGGGGGGTGATTTCTCACTTTCTGTCTCTCTGTCTCTCTCTGTCTTTCTGGCGTGCTCATGGGCTCTATAGCAAAAACCTCTAAAAAATAGATAAATAAAAATAAAAATAGAAGTATTTTTTAATTTAATGAGAGAGACAGAGAGAGGGAAAATTGAGAAAGCAAGCAGCCAGGTACAAGACTGGAACCATGTTCAGCCATGTAGGAGTCCATCGCCTCAACTATCACACCACCTGCCAGCTCCATGGCCCCCAAACCTTTTTAAAAAATATTTATTTTTTAATTACTTTTTAGAGACAGATCCCATTTTATTGCCTAGACTGGCTTCGAACTTACGATCCTCCTACCCCGGTTTCTTGAATGGCTGGGATTAAAGGCTGGGATACCTGCAAAAGAATTTTTTCTAAGAGGAGCAGGCGAAGCAGAGCGAGGAGGCAGAAAATAATGAGCAGCTTGGCTGCAAACCTGGAGGTTAGGGGATGAGAGCAGGATGGAAAGTGCATGGAGTTTTGGAGGCAGAGGGTCTCGAACTGGCTGGTGCAATGCGTTAGAGGATTTCGTGGGATGCTGGGAGATCCCATCCTCCCAGATCATCAATTCCTTCTAGGAAATGACCTGCTGCTGCAGGGTCTCTGACACGGAGGTTCCTTCTCCTTCCCCCCCCCCACCCCAGGGTCCTGAAGAACTCCACTCTGGATCCAAGAAACCTTCTGGCTTCTTGTCCACCGAGGAAGACTGTCTTCTCTTCCTGGGGCAGAAGGAGCTGGAGAAGAGTGGTCCCACTGTCCCTGGCCATGGACCTGACGGTCGCCTGCAGGAGACAAACCTCTGAGCGCAGGACCAGCCCAGGACTGAGCAACCGGAGCTGGAACCTCATGCTGGGCCAATCTCAGGCTGCGGACCAAAGCCCTCGAGCTCTGATTGGCTGGGCCACATTATATGCAAATGAGCCTGGGAACTGCCCTATGGGAAGAAGCAAGGCCACGCCTCCAAGAGGTCCTTTTATCAAGCCACGCCCCCTTTCCAGTCCTATTTTCCGTCTTCAATCTATCACCTTTCTCTGCACCCCCAAATTAAGATTGCATTTCTCTTTGTTTTTATAGGTTTTGTCATAGGGCAGGTGTGTTTGCTAGAGACAGAGAAAGACAGAGAGGGGGAAAGTGAGGAATCACCCCCTAGGAGGGATGGCCACACCGCAATCTCTTCTCCGTTCTCTTCTCAGGATTTTGGTCATGCATGCCCTGTGTGATTTTCAAACTGCTGGGTCCCGGACTCACACCTGGGATCCAGCTGCCTTAACACCACTCCACCTGCTGGCACTAGATTAATTTCTTTATCTGCATTGGAGAACTGTCAGATTTCCCTCTGGACACCATAAAAAAACCACTGCCCCAACACCAGGGTCTGAAAAAGACCTTAGCCGCTCCCTGGAATGTGTTTAATCTTAGGAAGGATTTTGGAAGCCTTCAAACTCCTTGTGCCCCATTTCAAAGGAAGTTCAATTGAAACCCAGAAAAGCAGTGACTTGGCCAGCAATCATGACACTGGTTAAGAGTCAAACACCTTGGGGACCAGCAGTTAGCGTAATGGCTATGTCACTGGACTCCCGTGTAGTCAACCGCGGTTCATGTCCTGGACCTGGTGGCTTAAACTCACGCTGGGCGCGTGTGCGTGCGTGCCCAAGATCCCGAGAGGAGAATGGAGGAGAAGGGATTGCGGCGTGGCCATCCCCCCTGGGGGATGATTTCTCGCTTCCTGTCTCTCTGTCTGTCTCTGTCTGTGTGGCCAACGCCCCCTCCCTATAGCGAAAAAACCTCTCCAAAAAAAAAAAAGTCAAGACACCTTCTGGGGACCAGCAGGTGGCGTGGTGGTTGGGGTGATGGGCATTCCCACATGGCCGAACACGGTTCGAGTCCTGGATCTGGTGGCTTGTTTTGTCATTTTCCCTCTTTCTCTCTCTCTCTCTGGTCAAATTAAAATAATATGAATAAATAAAATAACATAAATAATTCTTTATAAAAAAATGTACTGTGTGCTTGGATCAGGGGTGTGTTGGGTATTCCTGGGTTGATGGACATAAAGATCGTTTCCAGCTTTTGGCTATTTAAAATAAAGTTGCGGGAACCAGCAGTTAGCGTAATGGCTATGTCGCTGGACTCCCACGTAGTCGACCATGGTTCGCGTCCCGGACCCGGTGGCTTAAACTCACGCTGGGCGCGTGTGCGTGCGTGCCCAAGATCCCGAGAGGAGAATGGAGGAGAAGGGATTGCAGCGTGGCCATCCCCCCTGGGGGGGTGATTTCTCGCTTTCTGTCTCTCTGTCTCTCTCTGTCTGTCTGGCAAGCGCACGTGCCCTATAGTGAAAATCTCTCCAAAAATAAAATAAAATAAAATAAAGTTGCTATAGACATTCATGGTCAAGTCTTTGTGTGGGCATACACCTTCGTTTCTTTTTTTCTTTTTTTTTAAGAGAGAGAGGTTTTTGTTATAGAGCATATACGCTTGCTGGAGAGACAAAGAGAGTCAGAGAGACAGAAAGCGAGAAATCACCCCCCAAGGGGGGGTGGCCACGTCACAATCCCTTCTCCTCCATCTCCTCTGGAGATTTTGTGCATGCACACGCGCCTGGTGTGAGTTTAAGTTGCCAGGTCTGGGACTCGAACTGCGGTTAACTGCATGGGAGTCCAGCGATGTAACCATTACGCCATCTGCTGGTCCTGCCTTCATTTATCTTGTAGAAAATACTGAATCTAAGAATGAAATAGCTGGATCCAGGTCAGCTGGTGACACAATGGTTAAGGTAGCTAGAGCCCACCTGGGTGAGTGCACGGTTCGAGTCCTGAGCCTGTCTGCTTGGGGAGAAAAAAAAAAAAAAAAAAGGTTTGGGGACCAGCAGGTGGCATGGTGGTTAAGGATTCCACATGCCGACCAAGGTTCAAGTCTCAGATCTGGAAACTTGCTTTGTTAATTTCTATCTCTCTCTCCATCTCTCTTTGGGGAGCACATGTGTCCTATAGTAAATTTAAAAAATAATAATATGGGGGGGGCAGCAGTTAGCGTAATGGCTATGTCGCTGGACTCCCATGTAGTCGACCGCGGTTCGCGTCCCGGACCCGGTGGCTTAAACTCACGCCAGGCGCGTGTGCGTGCGTGCCCAAGATCCCGAGAGGAGAATGGAGGAGAAGGGATTGCAACATGGCCATCACCCCTGGGGGGTGATTTCTTGCTTTCTGTCTCTCTGTCTCTCTCTGTCTTTCTGGCGAGTGCACACGCCCTACAGTGAAGTCTCTCTCACAAAAACATAAATAAAAAAAAATAATATGGGACCAGCAGGTGGCCTGGTGGTTAAGGTGCTGGACTCCCACATGGCCATCCATGGTTCGAGTCTCAGACCTGGTGGCTTGCTTTCTCACATCCTCTCTCTCTCTCTGTCTCTCTCTGATCAAACTGGAAAATAATCATGATAATAATAATAAAGTGAAATAAAATAATTCTTTTTTAAAAAAAACAGAAAATGACACTGGGCACATGTATGTGTGTGCCCCAAATCCCAGGAGAATGGGGAAGAAGCCATTGCCGTCTGGCCATCCCTCCTGAGGTGGTGATTTCTCGCTTTCCCTCTCTCTCTGTCTCTCTCCAGCAAGCACATATGCCCTACGGCCAAAACGTTTTTTAAAGAATTATTTCATTTCATTTTATTTATTCATTTATATGTTTTAATTTGACCAGAGAGAGAGAGAGAGAAAGTGAGAAAGCAAGTTGCCAGGTCTAGGACTTGAACTGTGGTCAGCCATGTGGGAGTGTCCAGTGCCTTAACCA